AAAAAAATTCTTAAAATGCAGTATCTCCACTGCTGAGCAATCCAGGGACCATACACACTTTAATCCAATCACTCCTTTCATCTTGTGTTTTAGCTTTGTTTAATTTTTACCCCCCCAAATTAGCATTATTATTATTTTATACAGTCATTATTTAGATTTATTCCTGTACTTACCTGTTTCTTTGCTTACCATTCCTTATTCATTTTACACCTTCCTTTCAGACATAACTTTCTTTCTTCCAGAAGTATATGTTTTAGCACCTTCTTTGGAAAATTTCTGGGTTTTGTTTTTATTTCATTCTCATTCTTGGATGTCAGCTCAAGACTGATTATCTTATTGAACTGTTTTTCTTTTTCTTTTTTCTTTTTTTGAACTGTTTTTCTTAGCACTTTAAAGACGCTATTCTGGGGTACCTGGGTGGCTTAGTCGGTTAAATGTCTGCCTTCAGCTCAGGTCATCATCCCTGAGTCCTGGGATCGAGCCCCATGTCCCAAATCTGGCTCCCTGCTCGTGCTCTGCTTCTCCCTTTTCCCTTCCCCCGCTTGTGCTCTGTCTCTCTCTCAAATAAAATATTTAAGAAAAAAAAAAGATGCCATTCCATTGTGTTGTAGCTTACCTTGTTCCTATGAAAAAGTCTACTCTCAGCTTATTGTCACTTCTTTATAGTTCTCTCTGGTTGTTCTTAAGATTTCTTTTTGATTTTTATGTTCAACAGTATGGACTTTATCTCAGTCCTACTTGAGATATAGCATTGTTCCTAAATCTAATAACTTAGATCTTTCCTGAAGTTTTGAGAATCTTAGTCATTGGTATCTCTGAGTGTTGCCTCTCTCCCATTCTCTCCAGTCTATCTTTCGGGAATTCCAACTAGATGAATGTTACACTATCGCATTCTGCCTTTCACAAGTGATAATCACCCTTTGATATTTTCTGTCTCTTTGTCTCTGTGTTCCAGTTCACTGATTCTCTTTCTAGATATATTTACTCTATTCTTTAAGTAGGCCATTGTGTTTTACTTTTAAAGCTCTATTTGTTTCTTTTTCAAATCCGTTTAGTTGTTTCTAGGGGTCTCCTCTTCCTTCTTCCATGTTCTTAGATCTCTTCTTTGTATAAAGCTTGCTTTTAAAATATTTTGTTTTTTTTTTTTTCGTGTTTTTTTTTTTTTTTAATTTTTATTTATTTATGATAGTCACACAGAGAGAGAGAGAGAGAGGCAGAGACACAGGCAGAGGGAGAAGCAGGCTCCATGCACCGGGAGCCCGATGTGGGATTCGATCCGGGGTCTCCAGGATCATGCCCTGGGCCAAAGGCAGGCGCTAAACCGCTGCGCCACCCAGGGATCCCGCTTTTAAAATATTTTGTATCTAACATTTCCATTGTCTAAAGTCTTACGGAGCTAATCATGCTCTTTATTTTTTCTGCTCTTACTTATTATTCCATCATCTTCTGAAGTCTTTGGCAATTTTTATTGTGAGCTTATAATGCGTCCCTGATTTTAATCTTTAGGAATCCTGAGGGGTCTGGGTTTAAGGTACAATTCTCAATTAGAGGATTTGCATTTGCTCCTGTTATCTGTCCCCAGTGCTACCAAACCAGAAGTACTTTAACCTGTCAGGTTGGGATTTTTCTGGACCATACAGATAATGATTTTGAATTTTAATCAGAGACTTTTTTTTCCACTTTAGGTAAGACTTGACACAATTGGGTAATTTTGCCACTGTATTTTTTTTCTAAGCTTGTGCAAGGGATATCAATTTCAACTCCCCACCTTTGGCTTTTCCCTATAAATTGTATGTCTAAAAGGATATTTATAACTTCTTAAGCATTTTTAGATGTCTGGGATTTTTTTAGACTATCTAGTAATTAACATTGCCAGAAGAAGGTGTCTGGTGGCGGGTGTGTATGTGTGTTTTTATTGGTGAATGAATATGTATGTGCACATGTGTGTGTGTATTAAGATTAAATTGTTCATTGTGTCTTGGCACTATTTACATTGAATCTGGGAAGTTTATAAACAATTCTATTTGGCTTAGTAAACATATTTCATCATTGATATGACCACCTGGCATTTATGTTTAATTATTTGGCAGTACTGTAATAATATGCAAAGGGTTACACATGTTTTAACTAAAATTATTTTATTTGATTGATGAAGCTTTTACATTCATAATTGTGTAAAAGGTGAAAGCACAGGTCTCTGGCATCAGACTACTACTTGGCTTCAAATGCCAGACTTTGGCTGTGTGGCCAAAGGAAAATTAGTGAACTTCTCTGTGCCTAGATTTTCTCATCTGTAAAGTGGTAATTATAAAATATATCCTATGGTGATAATGATGTATAAATGAGATAGTTAAGTATTTAGCACAGAGGGCCTATGTTTGTAGTTATTGTTTAATAAACATTAGCAATTTCTGTGGTTATTTTTTCATCTTTCCTGGCCCAGTCTTTATGTGTGTTGAAGGGGAAAAAATTAAAATTTTCTCCTTATATAATGTCTATTTCTTCCATACTGCTTTACTTTCCTGCATCTAGTCTTCCATCTTAACAGCTTCTTTCATATATTTGGTAATTCTTGGTTGTCTACTCCTTAGCAAGAGAATGGGACTAAAAACTTGATTGGAATCTCTGAGCCTATTGATAAGAGGTGTTCACTGTAGGTTTCCTATAGGTTCCCTGTACCCCGTGTAGTCTTCTTGCCACAGAACACCTGGTGTTAGTATCCTCCAGTCTTTCCTGGAGTGGTGAGAGTTCCCAGGCAAGTACTCTTTTGATCTTCTGCCTGGAGGGTAGTGTTCTAGGAGCTGGGTATGGGTAGGGCTCGGTCAGGAAAGAGTCCTCAGTATTCAGCATCCCTTCCCAGCAGCTAACCAGGTACGTAGTCTGCTGCTGGTGTACTCTACCCTCCGCTTTGTGGAGCCCTCCTTTGAAACGTTCTCTTCTTTTGCCCTATCCAGAGAGAACAACCGTTCAGGCTCCTGCTGCAGTGAGGGAAGAGCAGTTAGTTGCCTTTTGGTGTAGCGTTGGAGAAGGAATCTGGAGCCTTAACTACTCCTGAAACCACTCTTACCCATTTCTTACTCTAGTGACTTCCCCTTCTCTCCCAGTTCCAAAAGTTCCTAGTGTTGTTCCCAAGCCCTTTGAAGACTGTGTTAAATCCGGCTTGTTCTGTTTGCTCCACTGCTGGCTTGTGAGTCAGCTTTCTCTAGTCTACTAAGCCTGTTCATTTGCCCATCTGCTTTCCTGCTTCCCAGATGTTACTATTGTCACCTCTTCTGTTTTCCCTATCCTTGTGGGTTTCTATCTTTTTTTTTTTTTAAAGTCCCTTGGACTATAGTTTTTTGGGGGATTTTGGAAGGAGTAACATTAGTTGTGCATTGTGAATGTTCTTTTTGCCATCTTACCTTGCAAGTCTCGATTTTTTAAATGGCAATTGATAGTGTATTGGGGGGGGATCATAAGTGATATGTGCTTATTTGTAGATAATTTGAAAAATAGAAAAAATAGAAGACGGTTAAACATTACTATAATTGTATCATAGAGAAAACTGTAATTAACATTTGATATACATCTAGTTTGTTTTCTGTATTTGTGTGTTTTTATAATACACATTCATATTTTTTCATAATCGGAATCATTACTTTTACTTTTGTATCATGCTTTTTTCACCTAATAAGCCATTTTCCCATGTCAGAGCATAACTTTGGAAACATTTCTAACGGGTTTACAATATGGCTGTCATACAGCTTTGTCGTGATTTATTTAAATATTGTTCTATTGATAAAGATTTATATTTTTAATATATATTTTTTTCCTAATCCAAATTAGACTGAGCTTCATGAAGTTAGAGAATGTCTTGTTCATGATTCTTTCTCCAATGCTTAACCCAATGTCTACCATGGAATGATATCAGAGAATATTTTGTTAGGTAGATGAGAAATTTTGCACAAAAGACTGATTGTTTTCTTAAATTAGTTAGAATCTAAGAAGGACTCTTACTGAGTTAAAAGGCATAAAGTTTCTGAAGGTTGTTAATAATTTATTTTCAATGTGTTCTTTGATTTAGAATAAGAAACAAGGATGTAAAAATGAGGAGGTGCTTGCTGTACTAGGCCATGAACTGGGGCACTGGAAGTTGGGACACACAGTCAAAAATATCATTATCAGCCAGGTAAGTTGGAAGTGACAGTTCTCTTTGTATGGCATGGTAGTCAAAGGAGAAGTACAGCAGGCAGGAGAAGTAGTCTAGTTAGAGAGGCTAAGACAGACTGTAGCTGGGCTACCTGGCTTCACCTCACGGCTCCCTGACTTAATATCTGTGGCTTTAGGTAAGTTCCTTAAGCTCTCTCTGCCTCCATCCCTTGTTGAATGATATTACCCCCTAGGACTGATGTAAGAATAAATGAGTTAATGCATGTAGAGTTTGGAGTAGTATGTGGAATCAATAAGTACCGTGACAGTGTTTATTGCTATTACCACCATTGTGGCCAGCTCCAGTGTCCCTCAGTTATAGGAACTGTGAAAATCAAAAGGCATGAGCCTTGATAAGCTAGACATTAAAATGCTTTCTTTTTTCTTTTTTTAAGATTTTATTTGAGAGAGAGAGAGAACAAGAGCACGCAGAGCAGAGGGAGAAACAGACTCCCTGCAGAGGAGGGAAGCCCAACGCAGGCCTCAATCCCAGGACCCTGGGATCATGACCTGAGCCTAAGGCAGACGCTTAATGAGTGAGCCAATCAGGCGCCCCTAAAATGCTTTCTTTTTAAACTTTTTTTTCTCATTTACAAGTCATTATACATCTATTGAAGAGGACTGTAGTAACTAAACAAGAAAATAACAATTCCTGTAACATTCCTCCTCTGGGTCTAAATCAGCTCTCTAAACCAACAGTTACCACAGTTGTTAGGCTCCACGTGAAATAGCACTATATTCTGTTGACTGATTCTGAGCAGATGTGGCCTTAGCTGAGTCTGAAGTGGGTGTTTTGTTTTGTTTTGTTTTCATGTCAGATGGGTAATGTGCTAAGGTCATAACAAGGTTTGAGGGAGGCACATGTCCTACAATGGTGTAAACACCCAGTCATCATACTTATGAACTATAAAAGGATCTGAAGTGGGTCTTTGTGCCTTTCTAAAGGCCCACTGGTTCTGGATGATGGCCTACAAGGGAAGACTTGTGAGCCTCTGGGGGTCCTTCCTGCTTTGCATCTTTCAGTAAAAAATGAATTTCTTGGCTTGAAGTTATTTGGATAGATGGCAGTGAGTAAGACAATAAAGAAGTCCAAATCCAAGTTCAAAGTATTTAGTCTAAAGAGGAAACTCACTGCTGCTTTCGTGAAGGAAGCAGGCGTGCAGTGGAATCAGGCTACCACGAGGTAGTGGGCTAGTCCCTGTGGTGTGGTACCTGATTGATGGTGGGATTGACTGCCCCTTCTAATAGACTGTGTGCTCAGCAAAAGCCAGTGGGGGGGGAATATCTGGGTTGTTGGTTAATGCACTGACTCCATCCCTGGCACCTTGGCCACTTTGTTCAAGAGCCCCTTGACCGGGATCCCTGGGTGGCGCAGCGGTTTAGCGCCTGCCTTTGGCCCAGGGCACGATCCTGGAGACCTGGGATCGAATCCCACGTCGGGCTCCCGGTGCATGGAGCCTGCTTCTCCCTCTGCCTATGTCTCTGCCTCTCTCTCTTTCTCTCTCTGTGCGTGTGACTATCATAAATAAATAAAAATTAAAAAAAAAAAAAAGAGCCCCTTGACCAAGTCCTAGAATAGCTGGGGAGAGAAGCTAACATCCGCAGAGTAGGTATCTTCACCTTACTGACAGCTTCCTTTGCTGTGGCCTCTTTTAGTGAACATTCACATTGGACTAAAATATTATCATACTCTGGGCTAATTTTGGAAACTTTTCCACATACCCTATTTTCCACATCTTGTTAGCCATTCTTAAGTTCATTCCAAGGCCCTGATCATCCAGCCAAACCATTATTTGCCCACTGCCAGTGATTATATATTCTTAGCTCAGGCCTTCTGTCCTTCCAAGCTGAGTGAGCAATGAAATATACTACCTAAAGTTTCCCTCACTTAGAGTATTTCCTTTACTGTTGTCTTCCAAGAACAGCCCCGAGTGGTTCTGTAATGCCACAACAGTCTACTTTGAGCCAGTGCCAGCATAGTTGTACTAAGTTAATTGTAAAACAGGTTCACATTTTTCCTCCTCAATTAAATGATTATAGGGAGCTCCCCATGAGTAAGGGTTGATTGAGGGGTGGTAGCGTGGCAGGAGTTGACATACTAGGAGTATGATCCACTTGCTCATTTAATGTACTTCTCCCTTCTCCATGACATCCTTCATTCCCACTTGCATATGTGCCGCTTATACCTAATTTGGAGTGCTTCAGGGCCTACCAGTTTTCTGGCTAGGTGGATCAACATAGCAGTCAGTTTAGGAAGGGCAGCTCAGATTGCAGGTTTGTAGTGTCCCACAATCAGGAATCAGTCTCTGGTAGGGCCCAATAGCAAACTAAAAGTTGTTTTTCAAAAGGCAAGTAGTTACTTGACAAAAATGGCATGCATAGCTTATTTTAACTCTAGGAGCCTTCACTGTGAGTGAAGTTTCCTGTTGGAGCTTGTCATGTTGAATCTACTGAATTATAAGGACTAAATGATAGAGCTGGTTGTGCTTCAACCCAGGCCAGCTGGCGAACCTTATGCTGAGCCCCACTCTAGGCTGGTAGCTTTTGAGTCATCTGGCAAATGGTTTAGAGCAGTACATTTGAATAGGGTACCTCTGGCCTCCAAGATCCTGACCACCCAGTACCCCTTTTACTCATATTTTGGTACAGATTTTTGATTTTTTTATTTTCCCTCCCCTCATTTATTGTTAAAGGTACATCTACTTTTTTCTTGGACCTTAGTACTCAGTACAGCTCCAGTGGTTCTAAAAAGTAGGGAGTCTTGTTTTTTTGGAGCTTCCACATCAAGGTGAGTGGAAGGCCTTGTGTCTGATTACAATTTAGTGCAAACAGAGCCAGAATCCATTTAACTTTAACTTTTAACTTTTTTTAGCCTTTTAACTTTTTACAGAAAGAAAATACTCCATTGCTATTGGCCTCTTCAGACTCTCAGTCATAGGCTCCACTTAAGCTTGCCTATCCATATAGAAACCTACAGTTTAGACATTTGGGGAAATTTTATTTTTCTTTCTAGAATAAAACTGTAAAATTATCCAAATAACTTTTTCTATGATTACACTAAAACTATTCGTAGTTAGAATCACACCGTGGTGTCTGATTCTAGTTTTTTGGTGCTTCTGATCCCATTGTGAAATCACCTTAGTAATAACTTAGGAATTTTGTGTCTTTCTTTCTAGATGAATTCTTTCCTGTGTTTCTTCTTGTTTGCTGTATTAATTGGTCAAAAGGAACTTTTTGCTGCGTTTGGTTTTTATAACAGCCAACCCACTCTAATTGGATTATTGATCATCTTCCAGTTTATTTTTTCACCTTACAATGAGGTAATGTATAATCGTTAAAGTTATCTCACATATGCCCTTGCATTTCAAATCTAGAACCTTTAGGATAGTGAAAAAAGAAATAAAACTATATTTTTAACAAGTAGATGAAACAAAGTTTTTTAATCCTTTGATTTGCTGGCCAGTCTAAGAAAGTAGCAGAAAACCCAAGCCCAAATGAACAAATGCTTGCATGCTGCCAGCGGGGGTGGGGGTGGGGGGGGTGAGTAGAGGACTAGACTTTAGTGATGGAAACCTTGATCTAACCTGTACCTCAGAGACTTGGTAGATGGAAGTTAACTATTGGAATGCTATGTTCTAGATCACATATTCCCCAGTGCTTGGCTGAAAATTTTGTGTATGTGAGGGAATGAAACAATGATAATTGAGTATATGTATGGCTAAATATGGGAGACAGTATGACACTGTTCCTCTGATTGTGTTCTGACTACCCACTTCTGAATAGCCTTAAGGGTCCCACCTCAGGCCCTTTTGGTGTGTTACGGTAAGTGAAGTCTAAGAACCGCTGTTCAGATTGCTCAGTAGCGGGACTCCGTGCAGGTGGTAAGGCATGAGTTAATGAGACTGTATATTAACAAATCTGATGATGGAAACATGTCTAAATTAAGTCAAATTAAGCCAAGAAATAATATTGGGGATTTTGAGATGTCTCTCCATACAGAAAGATTCTTTCCTGGAGACAGGTTGTAAAGATTTTAAGATAAACTAAATGAATCCTGTTTCTCCATTACAAAGGGGGAAAGGGTTGGAAAAGAAAAATAGAAAAGAATAGATCATATTTACATAGCATTGTCCATATAAACTAAAAGTTTCCCAAAGCACTGAGATTTAATTACTACCTTTACATTCTTTTTTTTTTTTTAACTGAAAGTATTTTCTAAAATGCCTTATGCATTTTGTTACTGGTTAAATAGATTAGAGACACCTTTTGTTTTTAAGATTTTATTTTTAAGTAACTTCTACACCCAACATGGGGCTTGAACTCACAACCCTGAGATCAAGAGTCTCATGCACCACCGACTGAGCCAACCAGGTGCCCATAGGGAACACTTTTTAATGATTTTGCCATTTCTGTCTTCTGTCGCAGTTCAGCCATGCCTTTAAGGACAGTGAGCTATGTATACTAAATGACCTCCACTGCTTTTTAAGCAGTTATCCTACTTATTTAACTAATTTTTGGGGGTCTTTTCCTGTCAAGCTGATAATGCTTACTATAGTCAGTGTGACTCACTTACATCGTTATCCCTTTCTAGTTTTTTTTTTTTTTTAAGATTTTATTTATTTATTCATGAGAGACACAGAGAGAGAGAGAGAGGGAGAGAGGCAGGGACACAGGCAGAGGGAGAAGTAGGCTCTGTGCAGGGAGCCCCACATGGGACTCGATACCGGGTCTCCAGGACCACACCTTGGGCTGCAGGCCGCGCTAAACTGCTGAGTCACCCAGGCTGCCCCCTTTCTAGTTTTCATCCTTAACCTACCCTAGATGGGGAAATTAGATCATCAAACTCATTAAGTAGCAGTTACCAGATTCTGATTTGAAGGGTCCCATTCTAAGTACAAGCATACACAGTATTTAATAGTGTTCTCCTTTGTGGCAGTTAATTTGGCTGCTCAGAGAGTTTTTGTTTTGCTTATTTGCTTCCTTTTATTGAGTGGTTGAGTTCAGTTCAAAAACCACCTAAATAAATGAGGGGTATTAGAGTAATTTGAAGTGTGATTAATCTGCAGAGATACTAGCAACTGTTTAAAAAATCTTGGAGAACCCAGATTTGTTTCAAAAGGACTAGATATTTAAACAAAAAAATTTATGCTTAGTGTCAGTGTTTGAGAAGGCATGATAAAAAAGAGCTATTTTCCTCGGAAAGTTGGGAAAATTCCCCCTTAAGAAGAGTTTGGAAACCTACAGCAGAGCAGGCAGGTGCAGGTTAGTATCTGCTTATGTTTTTACTTATATGTTTAATATGAGATTCAAAGAACACTTAAAATCAGATAGGTTGATAGAGACTAACCATTTTTTTTTAAGGATTTTATTTATTTATTAGAGAGAAAGAGAGGGAGCATGAGTGGGGGGAGGAGCAGAGGGAGAAGAAGAAGCAGATGCCCCGCTGAGCAGGGAGCCTTACTGTATCCCAGAACACTGGGATCATGGCCTGAGCTGAAGGCAGGGGCTTAACCAACTGAGGCACCCAGGCGCCCCCACTTAATGATTCTATCCTGAAAAGTATATTAAAGATGTAGAAAGAAATTTCTGGCAGAATTCATTCAGGTGGTAGCTTTGAATATGTCTAAGAAGGTATTAGGAACTCCCAGGCGTTATTTTGCAACTCTCTTATTTGCTAGTAACAGTGAGAGGTACAAATGAGAGCCTTTTTAAAACTTATTTTTTGTTTTGGGGGATCCCTGGGTGGCGCAGCGGTTTGGCGCCTGCCTTTGGCCCAGGGCGCGATCCTGGAGACCCGGGATCGAATCCCATATCGGGCTCCCGGTGCATGGAGCCTGCTTCTCCCTCTGCCTGTGTCTCTGCCTCTCTCTCTCTCTCTCTGTCACTATCATAAATAAATAAATTTTTTAAAAAATT